TTATATAATACATTTTAACTCTTTCTTACAAATCAAACTCTTACTCATTAAACGAGTCGCTTATGTGATTAGATTTACGAGTGTTATAACAATAACTTATGCACTGGTTTTGAAATCTTTGAAGGGTTAACTGATCTTTTATGGTGACGGCCGGCATATATAGTGATGAAAATTGGAAAGATTCAGCAAATCACAAAATAATAAGTTTATTTCCGTATTTAAAATGTACTCGTTATCATTCGAATATTAATGAATGGAAAACTAGTGATATTTGGAAAAATCTGTTGTATACAAAGAAAATGATAGTGGATCTAATATGTTGTCTTAGGGCATGCTTTCATTTGAACTTATACAAATATTCTTATAGATTGCTAACTTCGATTGGAGAGGTAGCTTTGTAGGAAACGTAATACAGATTCTCCAAAACTGTAACACTTCAACTTTGCACAGAAACACGGTATGAAATATTTCACTAAGAAATTAGTGGAGTAATTTCGATAAAGTTAGTATTGATTGGTCTGAAGTCTTGCATATTTTTTGGGGTTACTATTCAGAAGTTGGAACAAGAATCAGGAAAAATACTTTTTGTTGAACAAGAAATGATTTTCAAGGTATAAGTATGGGGCATAAAAGGGCAAAACCCAACAAATCCTTTTCATATCGAATCCATTACAACCTTCAGCATTGGTTATGATTTTGCGTACATTTTTTCAATTTCTTCTTCAGATTCTGATATGAAGGAAATTGTAGTAAAAACATTCTCACTCAGTAAGCGGTTTTAGGATTACCATCAACAAAAAAGTTTGGATCTTCAACATCATGGGAGATGTGACACGCATCTTCTCCTGGTTTTTAATATTCAAATAATCCAGGGCGTACCAGATTTACTCAGAATTTGGATTGGATTGGAACTCAAGATAGAAGAATAAATATTCAATCGTATTTGCTTACTCAGAAGTTTATTAAGTTCAAGAGATGAGACCACCTAGTTCTATAATTGATACATTGTCAGCTCGCGAAGTGACTGTAATTTGTGGAAATGAGAGACAGAATTGATGACATTTGTTGCATCAGTTAAGTTTCATTCATTAATATCACATGGCCAGTAATTGTCTTTTTTTGTAGTTAAGAATTTCATCGATGAAACTATAAGGTGATTTAAATGTTAGTTATGAAAACACTAAGTTAGTGCTAGTTATGAAAATACTAAGTTAGTTTTTAAGAAAAATCATGCCAATTTTTTTATTAGCTTTATTTGTTATATCATCAACTATTACAGTTATTGAAGACATTAATATTGTTAGTGAGTACATTGATATTGTGTAACGGTACTAAATTTTGTTTGATGAGAGATTGGTTTGTTTGAAAGCGTTTATCACATTTTCGGCTGCGCTTCATTCTCCTGAGATCTGGATGATATTCTCTGGGATGTTATTGTTCTCTCTTCGCTGGTAATATAATGGGCATTCTTGGAGAATGTGTTTTACAGTAATTTTTGCCTGGCATATATCACAGTGTGGTTCATCTGTTTTGTCTATGATATGTCCATGAGTAAGCCTTGTGTGTCCTCTACGTAGTCTTGTGAGGATGACATGATAATTCCTAGGCATTGGGATGTATTTTCATTGTTTTACTGACGGCTTCATTTCCTTCAGCTTTGATCCATTGGTGTTCCATTGTTGTTGCCAGCTATTTATCGGATGTTCCTCACAATTTTTTTGAAATCGGATTGAATAATCATGTTCGTACATGGGGGTACTTGACTCTTTGTTGCATTTCTTGCGAGTAGGTCAGGTTTCATGAAAATGTCATATGCCACATGCTACAATTTTTCTTATTAACGATTTTTGGACCGCTGAAAATTAACATGAAATTGTTATAGAACGTGGAAAAGTGAAGTTTTTCAGTTACTGGGGTTTTCTGGCTGAAAATAGTAGAAAAACGGGACAAATCAATTTTCAGACTGTTACGGAACTTCTTTGTATGTACTCTTAAGATGAAGTGCGGTTTAAATTTTCTTCTTTTTTTTCCAAGGACAAAATACAAGCACTGCAGGAAACTCTTCAAGGCGCTCTGAGGGTCGTGCCTGTGCGATAGTAGCGATTTACATTGGATTTGAACGCTGAAGGTTCTCATTGGATTTGAATCGCTATTTCTAATTTTGAAGCAGAATAATTTTTTGCTGAAAATTTTCAGGGCTCTTTGTGAAGATACACAAGTATCTTGCACAAGTATAAAAGTCGAAAAACTCTAATCTACCTAACTCAATTGAGCAGATGCAGATGACTTTGTCATCTTAGCAAGGTCCATTCCGGTAAGGGTAGCTTGTAATATCCTCCAAAGCACGATGGACGTTATCCAGAGTTGGTGCCTTAGGGAGCAAATGTATGTCAATTCCAGCAAAACTGTGATAATCTCCACCACCAGGAACAGAAAATTGAACGATTTAACGTTACTTCACCTCAATGTTGAGATCATTTTATTTGGAACGGAGGTGAAATATTTTGGCATTGTCCGTGGAAAAAGTTTCACACATAGCCAGACTGTCTCTATGGGCATGTCAAAATATTTGTGGTAAAACTTGGGGTTTAGGTCTCGAACAAATCCATTGGATTTATGGAAGTATTTGCCTGGTTGCCGAAGGCTTCACAGAAAGCGACTCAGGCATATCTCTTTAGCTTACAGAGACAGGCTTGCCTGACCATCAGTGGTGCTATCAGTACCGCACCGTCAGTGGCCATGGAGATCCTTCTAGATCTATCTCCTCTCCACATTTTTCTGGAAAGAGAGGCTGGATGGACTTCATATAGACTTGTGTACATTGACAATTGCACAAATCAATCTAATGCAGAGTACCACAGACTGCTGGTTGACACAGGACGTCACAGCATTCTGGGAGTGACCTCTGACTTTATGCCTTCAACTGTCAACTACGAACTGCCTTATACAGTACTGTTCCCGAGTAGAGAGGATTGGATCTTTCGGGGGAAGGAAATCTTAAGAGCAGATAGTCGTTGGTTCACAAATGGTTCTAAAACACCTTCAGGTTCTGGTGCAGGTGTTTTCAGTCGCAGACCCAGGACAGAGATATCAACCTACCTAGGGACCTATGCGACTGTATTTCAAGCATAAATTCATGCTAATGAATTGTGTTCAGAGAGACTGGGAAAATTCAACCTCTTACACAAGTCAATAATGATATTCTCAGATAGTCAATAGCATTAGAAGCTCTTGGCTCCTACCGAGCAACTTCTAAATTAGTAGTAATTGGTAGCGATAGAAAGATCTCACAGATTGTCTCTGATCTGGATTCCTGGCCATACTGGCCTGGAAGGCAATGAGGCTGCTGACTCCCTTACAGAGGAGGCTGCTGCAAGCAGCTTCATCAGACCAGAACCTGCCAATGGCTTCGCTTTAGGGTTTTTCAGACAAACATTGAACACCTGGATGGCAGAATATTTCAGAATTGGCTCCCTCCAAGGCGTTTATTCACCCTTCGAAGCTTGATATCAAACAGTCGTTGGACTGTAGTAGGAATGAACAACGATATCTAACATGCCTTCTTACAGGTCACTGTCATCTGAATCATCATATGCAGAGATTCAGACTGTCGAAAGACAGCTTCTGTTTGGTAAATGATGAAACAGCAGAGCACCCGAGGGGGGTAGGCACAAAGTTTGTGCCTATTAATGATATTCACACTCATTATCATAATAATCTTTCATTATTCGATAATGAAATAATGTTCAATACATTAATCATAAATTGGTGAACAATGGAAAAAGAATGTTCTGTAGAAATAAAAAATTTGAAACTGTCAGCCAAGTGAAACAAATCGTTGAATTCTTTTTCCTTATAACAAGAGCTCAGCGTATAGTTGAAAGGTTATTGTCCTCAGAATGTAAAGGTATTACCCAATCGCTGTGACAATCAAGATTTCTAAAATAAAATCGATGCCGGTGAAATTAATTCATTAAGACATTCAACGATTAATAAAACATAATCGTGTAAAGATCATCAAGCGAATAATAAACGATTCAGTTACGTTATCCAAATTCGAAATAATACGATAGCGACCAACAACAAAGTTATTTTTATACAAGTGTGATCAAAACTATCATATATCTTCAAGGTGCCTCACGAATTAGTCTTTTTATTCTATAATATTCCTCACAAATCGTTAAATCTACAGGATTCAGTGAAATTTAGACAGACTCTTGTTTATTGATGACAATAACCATATTTTCCAGTTCCTCTACAGTTATGAAGTTTTATAGGACACAATATCAAATTACTACCAAATCAAATTGAATACCTATTTACATAACTGATCTCAGTAAAATTGTACTGTTGTTATTATTTCAGTAAAAATTGTGAGCCGTCACGGGATGCCTGGCAAAAGTGAAACATCGAAATTATTTCGTACAAGTAATACGTATGTTATATGTTGTTTATTGACCTTCTCTATTCAAACCCAAGGTGACAAGGACTAATGTCAATGCTGACTTGCTGAGTCGACATCCGGCAATACGCAGTTCCCAAAACGACGACACAAAGATTCTTTATTTTCTCTGTTTCATTTTAGAAGATATCAATATTTATTTTGCTATAGATACCGTTCTGCGTGGCGAAATGAGTTAGTTACACTGGAATTGCATTCAAGTTACAAGTTTATCAGTTTTATATTCACATTACTTCATATTATTGTGCATTCTGTAACTCGAGGGAACATCGTACTGTTTGCCTTTTTTCGAAATGAATAAACTTTAAAAAACTTATATTTCCAAAGTGAGATATAACATGCATAAAAGAACAGATTGCGGCAGAAACTGATATGGGATAATGCGCTACTCGCTATCAACTGATTTTGTTAGGTAACGACATTCCACAGTTCATAGATTTTCAATATGCATATTTCAATAACACCATTTTTCTCTCAATATATGTAAAGTTTTTTTTTTCAAATTGACTATTTTTTCTTGCAGGTGTTGGTGGTGTTGATCCTTGTTACCGCTTTGACTTTACTGGTGACTTATTATATTTATAAGAGACGTGGACTTCCTCCAGGACCGTGGGGTTTACCCATTATTGGATTTTTGCCATGGTTGGATCCCATTGCACCATATTTAACGTTAACTAAGTTATCGAAGAAGTACGGATCCATATATGGGCTCAGTCTGGGAAATGTATACGCAGTAGTATTAACAGACCCAAAAATTATTAAATCTTTATTTTCTAACGATTCAACTACTGGTCGAGCTCCCTTATATTTGACCCATGGAATAATGAAAGGTTACGGTATGTATGAGAAAAATTACTGATGATATGCGGAAAGAAACGAAATGTCTACGTAAATCAGTTTTCCTCACCAGAACAAAAATGCTGATTTTCGACGCGAATTTTGCTAACCAAGTTAGCATCATCGGTAGATTGCCAAGTCTATGTCATCTTCTGATGATGCTAACTTAATTAGGTAAATACGCGTCGAGAGACAGTATTTTTGTTTTGGTGAGGTGAAAATGATTTGAATAGATTCATGTTACACCAAGGGTTCCCAATTCTATCAATCTAGAAATGAAGTATTATATCTGCATAGTATCTGGTGCCCAACTAATATTACACGAAGATCAAATGTACTTCAAAACTCAACCTTAATTTCATAGTGCTGAAGTTATCAACATCGGTTTAGTGGATGTCAATTTTGAGAAGTTTGTTTTTATCGGGAAATATGTCAGAATTAGGGAAAATCAAAAACTCGGTTGGATAATGACAAATTTGGGAAGTCTGATGTATGTTACTCGTAAGTTAGCGTAGTAGTTTTAAGTCTACGAGATCGTCTATCTCTACACTTCAACCACTTTTTCACATGGAGTTTGTAGGATTTATACGATTCAACCTTTTTATATCATCAGGAAGTAGATTATAAACTTTTGGTGATAAAAATTCCACTGACCTTTGACCGATAGTTTTTCCACATGTCGTTTCATTTGATATATCTACTTTTTCCTGTGGATATTGATTAGAATCCGAAAAGTGAAGATTTGTCTTATATCAAAAATGCCATTTTCCAGAAAAAATAAATCACTGGAATAAGTAATATTTTTCCTGTAAATTATCCTCAGAATCCACTTTTGCATAACGTTCAAAGCATGCAGATCACATGGAGCTACGCCACGCCATCCTAATATTCCATATGATAACTGGGAGTGTATTAGTGCGAGATATAATGTTTTCAATTTCTCTGTACTCAAAACGTCAGCGAGATATCTAAATTTGATAAGCAATTCCCTTAGCTTATTTCTAACATGATTAACGTGAAGGTCCCATCTTAAGTGACTGTCTATAATTATTCCTAAGAACTTTGACCTGTCTTTTTCTAGAATGTGTTTTATATTGCTCACCACCAAAGGACCAAATTCTGGTAAATAGTTGGAATATGAAGTGAAGTGAATGAAATAAATAGTATGATTTTTCATCATTCATTGTTAAACTGTTGAATTTAAACCAGTCACATATATCATGTAAGTCTTGTTCGGCTTTATTTTTTACATCTGTCCAAGTTTTGTCCTCATAAAGTATTACCATATCATCAGCAAAATTGATGATTTTACCTGTAGATCAATATGTCATGAGACTGTTTATGTAAAGAGTGAATAATAGAAGTTGGTATGCGGGTCCTCTTATCCCATAGGATTGAAGTTTTTGGGAGGGCGTTTGTGACACACTGTATCGAAGGCCTTTGATAGATCTACAAAAACGCAAATGAATGGATTTTTTTTTCCATGACCTTATAGATATCAGTGGTTAAAGCATATATCGCATCCTCTGTACTTCGACCTTCCCTAAATCCAAACTGGTTGTTGGAGAGAACTCTAAATTCTTCAAAAAATGCATACATTTGTGTCTTCACGATTTTCTCAAATATTTTAAAAAACACAGACAACAAAGAGACTGGCCGTTAATTTTCGATTTTTGCCCTATTTCCATTCTTGTACAAGAGCTTGATGATTCCTAACTTCAAGCAAGTAATGGCTGAATCAATCAGAAAAAAAAGGAAGTAAAGAATTGAAATCCGAATTTTACAAGCTCTTCTTCACAAGATCCAAATAAAACTTTACACGATAAGTAGTCGATGAAGAGCTAGTTGTTTAGTAGTTTTGACTGAAGAAGTTACTGGTATGCTGGGGGCAGGTACATGACAAACTATCCTACTGATACATTTCTAGGAAGATTTTCAACAACGAATTGGAATTTGATAATCATATCACCGATATTTAGAGAAATAAATTCGAATGGAAATTTTCCAGTAAGTGTGGTGGCGAAGAATTTGGTTTGTTAGCAATTAAAACATTCTCCATAATTGAGATATGGTGTATTCCCCTCTTAGCGTCTTCGAAAGCAAAGTGGGGTGCTAAGCTAAGAGGGGTAGTCTCCCACCCCTCTCAGCTTCTTCAAAAGCTAAGAGGAGTGGGAGACTATCAACGTCCGCACTGTACATGTTTGTTATGTCCGTCATGAGTAATTTTATTACAGTGTTAAAATATTTCTTTTTTCCCTTGTACAACAATCAAAATTTCGAAACCTAAATTAATTTTTCAGGTGTTACATGTACATCATTGACAAGCATGAAAAATGATGAAGTCTAAACATTAATGTGTGAATAATCCCAAATTGTTTCGGTGAAACTAACATAAAGCGATTCTCTCTTCTGTTAATAATCTTGCAGGAGAGTAGTTCAGTCACCTCGCTAACCACAAGTCAATTTTCGGGCTCGTTTTTTGGCCTACTCTGGGTTAGTGTGTCAACATCGCTTACGTCACGCCATTGTCGCGAAGGCTCACGCACAACTCTCTAACACGCAATGCGTTCTCCATTTTTGGTAGGTCAAATAACCAACGGTCCGTTTGATAGCGTTTTTTCGTGAACCTCCCGTGGAATGCAAAGCGATTGGTGATATAATGTAAGTACTGAATGTAAGAGAATGAAGGAGTTAGCGGAAAAGCGAGCTCTCGCTAAGAAGTTCTCGTATACAGGGCGATACATAAACGTAATTCAGTTGGAGTATTTTGAAAAGGATATCAGGTATTCAAATCTGAAATTTGAAAAATCTGATTCAATTATTATTATTTTTAGTTATATGGCGACATAGTTGAGTACAGTTAGGAGATTTGTAGGGTGTTAGTAGAAAAGGAAAAAACTGCGATGTTGGATATTGTGGCGACGTTTCCTTAATTTATTTTATCTTTCTCAAGGCTCATTATAAGCTAGGAACGCCTGACAGATGTGAAACATCAATAATAATATTTTGTGATTCCCATTATGATTGCGCATGGCGACCTGTCGCCACGGCAGTAATCGGGTTCACGTGGGCCTATATATGTTTCACATCAAAACTTGCATTCAGTTCTTTGTTATAGTCTAGAAAAAGCACTACGAATAAAAGCCGACCACTCTACAGGTTAATATTTTTGTTCAAATGATATATTAATATTATGTGATATGTGCAGACATAGTTTTGGATCAATATTCAAGTAATATATACGTGTGATGCACTGTTTGGATCCTTTGGTGTAGTAATGAATATTACTGGAGTTTTTCCCAACACCAAACCGTTATTTTAACACCTCGACACGTGTTTCGATCACCAACTGATCATCTTCAAGGTGAAGATCTTTTGATCTTCCTCAAGTAATATTCATTCAAGTAATTTAATGAAAATGAATGACCAAAGAAATGGAAACTCAAGAGATGATTGTTCTGATGTTTTAATCAGATTGAAATACAGGATGTTTGATAATTGATATCTGATCCTGAAGAGCAATAATCCTTGGCTGTGTGTAAGAAAAACTCCTCATATAGATCTTAGGTCCGCAAAAGCTTCATTTCTGATGTTGAAATATAACAAAAAATCATTTCTTTCCTAATATCTATGAAATCTTTTTGGTGTTTTCAATTTTGGAACATTTAAATACGCATAAAAATATTTTTTTTAAAGGTAAAGGTTTTTTTTTTATTGTTCGTCAGTAGCGTTCCTGTCAAAATGTCCTGCAATATTTTTCATCAAGATCATGAGACGTCACGTTGTTTTTCCAAATAAATTTCATCTTCATAACTGCCCTGTATCTTTTTTTTTATTTCAGCCAGTGATTTGTGAGGTAGAAAATAAATGCAGCCCCTGAAGTGTAGTAGGAGTATTTTGTGGGAATTTCTCTAGCTATATACCAGATATTATTTAGGTCATATAAACTTGCTTATTAAAAAAAACCTCGTGAATTTTACAAATATTGAATAAGCAGACATACTGAGAACAATTGCCTCAAATACTTGGGGTGCATACACAAATATGTTGATGACAATCTACAGATCCCTAATCAAATCAAAGTTAGACTACAGATCTATAGTATATAATTCGGCGAACAAATCGGTTCTGGAACAACAGGATACTGTTTACAATAATGCTATCAGAATTACTCTTGGGGCATTCTGCGCAAGCCCAACGGAAAGCTCACAATGCTAAACATCTTTAGCAATCCGAAGGCAGTTTTTAAACCCTCACCTATGCTGCTTCCATTACAGAAAACCCTGAAAACCCAGTATACCATAATGTGATTGCTCATAGATTTTCGTCAACATATACCGAGAAGAAAAGAGCTGACCTTCCTTTTTACGAGAGACAAAATCAATATCTACATAATTTGAACCTCCATCAATCAAAAACCTCCGCCCCGATTATCCCTAACTCCATTCCATGGACTACCCCAATTCTCATCGATGCAAACCCTAACCAGTTCAAAAAAAAAGTCATCAAATGTAATTTATATGAAATGATTCATACGAAATACAAGGAGTTTGACACAATCTACATGGACGCATCCAAATCTGAAGACGGCGTGAGAGCCGGTTTCTTGAGTGTCCTGGAAGCAGTCATCCAATTATAATCCAACCATCCCATCATTCATCATATAAAGGGACTGATCAATATACTCTATGGAAAAGGGGTCGTCATATAATTTATATCAGTTCCTTCTCACGTAGATATAATAGGAAAGGAAAAGGCTGACCGATTAGCTAAAGAAGCCACCATTAGTCCTAAAAACAGTACAGAATACTTTGTTGTCCATACAGATATGAAACCCTACTTTTTTCAATAACAAAACACAAGCACTACAGGAAAATCCTTGAGGCGCTCGCAGAGCGGTTCCTATGCGAAAGTAGCAATACACATTGGATTTGAAAATCCGCACTGAATTATGGCAATATCAATGGAATGGGTCTTGCAGTAAATTTTCTTAAGTAAA